GTGGGACTTATTTCGTTTTTAAAAGTGGGACTTATTTCGTGGGAGTTATTTCATAGACCCTATATATTACTTAATTTTAAACATTAACATATTGTAATTCTTTATTATAAGTTGCAGTTGTACTATAAAATATCATTGGGATCTTATTGTGCTAATGTTATATTTTATAATAAATGAAATGAAATAAAAAACTCCATTTTTGGAGGTATTTTGAAATTGGTCCAGCTCACTTAAATCTTAATATTTTTTCGAAATATTTTGGTGGACGTCTTAAAATATAACAGATTTTATAATTCCAATGGAAAAATAGTACCGATTTTTTTTTTGTATGAGGAGTGATGCAGTCTAATATACATACATAGCAGAGTAAAATAATACATACATATCGAATCCAATATTTTTGAAATTATATTCAGCATCGCTGATAAGTTCCTTATACTTATATATATTTTATATTTGCTTTTATAAAATTATATTTTTTTTTTATTATTCGTGCATTTATTTGTTGGATCTGCTTATTTTACATCTATTAAGCCTAACAACAAGTTTAAAAATCTTACGTCTAATTTTACAATAATGTAGCTCAAACCCTACGGTTGAGCCCTCTTGGTTTAACGTCGCTCAATTAAAGGCTGGTAGATCTCTTCTTCGCAGGCGTGTTATATTTGTTGTGTTGCACAGGCCACTTGCCAGTGGATTTGGGTGGTTACGCAGTTTTATTTTGTATTTTTCTCTGCTGCTGTCGATTACAGATTTAACCATCGGTATACCATGGTCTCTATGTATATTTTCATTGCGGACATACCACGGTGCTCCCGTTAAGGCCCTTAGCGTTTTAGATTGGAATGTTGGTTGCACAGGTCGTAACCCACAGTTGAATACCATACATCCATATAGGCTTAATCACTGTATTATATACAAGTACTTTATAATCTGTTAGTTATGTATGATTCAAATATTTTGTGGAATTCCGGCGGCAACAATTTTTTAATTTTATATATAAGACCGTCGTGCCACACTTTGTCGAATGCTTGTGCCACATCGAGGAAAATTGCAGAGCAGTACTCTCTGAGCTCAAATGCCCTTCTGATTTCATTTGTAATTCGATTAACTTGTTCAATTGTACCATGTTTTTCTCGGAAGCCAAATTGGTGTGCTGGTATTAAATTGCGTTCATGGACAAAGGGAAGATATCTTTGATAGGAGTACTTTTTCGAATACTTTGGAAAGACAGGGCAGTAAGCTTATTGGTCTGTATGAGGACGGCTGTGTTGCGTCTTTTCCAGGTTTGGCTATCATGATTATCTTCGACCTTTTCCATGATTTCGGAAAGTAACCGAATTTGGGGATAGCGTTGAAAAGGTCAGAAAGAATTGCTAGTGCAACATTCGGTAGCTCTATTAGCATTTTCGGAGTTATAAAATCAGCACCCGGCGATTTCTTTGGATTAAGCTGCTTTACTATAGCTTTTACTTCTAAAGAGTTCGTCTTGCTAGGTGTGTATAGCTCATTTGTATTTTTGGTTAGCCGTGGCAGCCTGAAGTTGTTCGTTGGACAGTTTGGCTGAAACACATTCTTTAAATGGTGTGAAAAACACTCGGCTCTCTCCTGCTCACTACGAGCCCAGGTTCCACATTGGTTCCTAATTGGCATTTATGTAGCCACTGGTTTCCATAGAGAGTATCTTCCAGTAGAATTCGGGGAAAGCTTCTTAATGTACCTTTGCAAGTTGCGATCCTCTGCACGTTTGAGTGCTTGTTTCAGTTTTCTACTGGCAGCTTTATACAGTAGCTGTGAGGTTGGTGAGCGATGGCTCTGCCACTGTCTTCTTAGGCGCCGCTTTTCTGCCACAAGTTTTTCTATTTCGGTATTTGTAACTGATGTATGCGTAGGTGGTACTTGGACTTGATTTGGTGTTGCCAGGCCAGCGGCTGTAGTAAAGGTTTCTTTAAAATGTTCAACAAGGGAGTCTATATCACGCTCGCAGTTAAGTGCAGCGTTTAATTTAAGGTGACTACTGATGTACTTTTTATATTTAAGCCAGTTGGTGTTATTTGAAGTTAGACGAGGCTCAATTTCGATATTTTGGGTCTGTTCATATAGTTTTATTAATATAGGGGAGTGATCGGATGATAGTTCAGGTAGAGTTTCTGCTGTTATGTTATTTCTGTATATGTTTCTTGTAATTGCGAAATCTATTAGGTCTGGTATCTTCTTTATATCGGTAGGCCAGTAAGTAGGTTTACCAGGAGATGTGACCTCTAGTCTATTGTGCCTGTTTATAATGGTATTGTATAACTGCCGCCCTTTTGGGTTAATAAGGCGTGATCCCCAGTACGTATGCTTTGCGTTGAAGTCGCCTCCTGCCAGGAATCTATTACCCAGGCTATCAAAGAAATCTTTAAAGTCATTTTCAGAAATTAAAAATCGCGGTGGGCAATAAATAGCCGATAGATTCAAGTCTCGGTCGCGGTTTCGTAAGCATATGGTAGTTGCTTGCAGACAGGCTGTTGCTTTTGACTCTAGAATATTGTGCTTTAGACGATTTCTAATCAGCACCGCTGTGCCTCCATGAGCTTTACCATCTGGGTAATTTGTGGCATAGAATTTGTACCCAGGTATGGAGAAATTATATTTATTTGTTAAATGTGTCTCGGACAGTAGCATAACATCTATGTTGTATTCAGTGAGAAATTGACTGAGTTCTAATCTACGCTGGTTTACACCGTTAGCATTCCATAAGCAAATTTTCAATTCACTCATTTTTTACTCACTAAAATTTGCAACAATTAGTTTTGAGCCTTTATGAGGTCTTGAATCATATTTCGCATAGTAGACATGAATTGAGTCATACAATGAGTAAGATTCAATATCATTCCTTCTATGCCACAAGTAGGGGGGTTCGGCTGCATTTGCTCAGTATTATTCCTTTGAATATTTGCAAATGTTTCTTGATTGGAGTTTGATTTCGCCGTGCTTGGCTGCGTTTGTAGTTTTAACGCGTCGGCAAAAGAAACGTTGGGAACTCGCTGCGCATTGGCAAAAAAGGCTCCTGGTGTAGTGGTTGATGGCGTGAGGTGTTGGTATTTATAAGAGCTAATTGGAGTGGTGGAAGAGCGTACGGCTGTGTTGCGCTGATTCATGCGAGACTTTAAGTCTTTGTACACAGGGCATCCCCTATAATTGGCGGTGTGGTTACCTGCGCAATTACTGCATTTCTTTACAGTCACATAATCTTTGATAGCCTTGCAAGAAGCGGAAGCGTGAAGGTCGCCACAGGCAACACACACNAAGGTCGCCACAGGCAACACACACTGGGCGCAAGGTACAGTATGTTCTGGTGTGCCCAAATTCTTGACAATTTGTGCACTGTACGGGACCGTTTCGCTTGTGCGGCTCCTCCACTGTTATTCTTCGGTGTAGAAGATATCGTAGATTGTAGATTGGGTGAACTGCGTTTTTATTCATTGGCTTTGTTTCTGGCTTAAGTTCTACCTTAAACATAGCCTGAGCGATTTTTGCTCTGTTGATAATGCCTTCTCTAGAGCATGAGCAATATCAGCAATGGGTACACTTGATTCTATACCTTTTATTACTACTTGCAGTCCTTTGCTGCTTTTGAGCTGGTACGTATAGAAGTTTTTCTTATCTTCATTAAGGTGTTTGGTTACCAACCGGTAATTTTCTTCAGTTAGAATCTGAAGTTTGGTATCTTTAATATTGCCCTTGGTAACTGATGTTACGTGGAACGTATTGTCTCCAATAAGCTGAGTTAATTTATTCACGAGCTCACTACAGTTTTGCTCTCGTAAATAAATTGGGGGCGGTTTGGGTTTGGCTTTAGAAACTTCATTCGGCTCTTTGTCACATTCATTGTCCAGAATCGCAAACTTATTTCCCAGTAGAGGGTTAATGTCAGTGGTTTTCGTTTTTGCAATTTTTGATGGGTTTGCAATTTTTTNTGTCAACTTGCGCTGAGCTGCGTTGCTTGGATTGGGTTTTACTTGCAAAAGCAAGCAAACGAAATATCGCATGATTTACTTTGAAGTGCCGTTTTAAGCAGGCCCACTGTCGTTGTCAATAACAAAAAAAATTGTTTTGAATGAGCCATTGTTTACACAATTCAGACTGTGATCTTATGAAAAGTTATTCGCAGTATCTATTTTGCAAATTTTTCTTTTGCTTTGGCGACTAACTTAAATGGTAAGTATTTGACAGTAAAATAGTTTCAAATGTCAAAAGTTTTGTGATTTATTGTGTTATGTGATAAAGAACAATAATTTAAAAACTAAAGTCGAAGTAATAAAATAAATACTTAATAAAACTTATCCGAACATTAATGTCATTTTTTTTAGTGCTTTCAATAATCGGACATGTCGTCCGAGTATTAAAGCAATACAACCACCGCGTAATTTAATAATCGGACACATCGCGGTTTTTTTTCTAATGTATTAAACATTATTTAGAAATTTATAAGAGATTAAAGTTAGAAAGTTTGGTTTTGATTTTCAACAGATGAGTAAAAGATCTGTAAGCATTCCTCACAAGGAAAAATTAGAGAAGGCTCTTTGCGAAATCCGAAACAGGATCCTATGTTTGAGAGCTGCCGCTTAAAAATATGGAATACCAAAGTCCACACTTCATGATAGGATTACTGGAAGAGTTCCTGAAGGTGTTGTAAAATTAGGGCACGAGTCGTATTTATCAGAAGTGGAAGAACTGAAAATAACGAATTGGATCATGAACATTTGCAAATGCGGGTTTCCGTTGAATAGGGCTGATCTCTTGAATACAGTTCAAAAGATTATTGTCGATTCCAAGCGAAAAACCCCATTCAAAGACGGTAGACCAGGCAGAACTTGGCTTAAGCTTTTTTTCAAAAGAAACAGTTGTTTAGTAGAAAAGAAGCTGAGAGTATCTCCAAAGGAAGAGCTTTGGTCACGTAAGCGTATATACGAAAATGGTCCAAAGAATTACAGGAGTACCTTTTGAATAATGATATGGAAGACATTTTGGATGATCCATCGCGCATATTTAATGGTGACGAAAGCGGTTTCTCAATGTGTCCCAAATCTGGCAAAGTCATCGCTCCGAAAGGCTTCAAAAATGTCTATGAAATAAAAATGGCATCTGAGAAAGAAACGATAACCGTGCTGGAGGTAATTTGTGCCAATGGAGAAATGCTTCCCATGGTAATTTTTCCATATTTAAGACCACCAAGAGATATAATAAATAGTATGCCTGAAAACTGGATCCTCGGCCGGTCTGAAAGCGGATGGATGCGAAGCGAGACATTTTTTGAATATGTGGGTAATGGATTCCATAACTACCTGAATATTAAAAACATCAAAAGGCCGGTGATTTTGTTTATCGATGGACATAAGTCGCACTTAACAATGGAGTTAATTGAATTTTGCAATGAGCACCAAATTGTACTCTATGCACTACCACCAAATACAACGCATATTATGCAACCAGCGGATGTAAGTGTATTTAAACCGCTCAAGTTGAATTGGAAACAATATCTACGGCAATGGCAAATAGAAAATTTAAGCGAGATTCTCCCAAAGAAACATTTTTGTCCAATGTTAGAAAAGACTTAAAACTTCTGAAAATTTGGCTCAAACCATACGAAATGGTTTTCGTAAATCCGGCTTGTTTCCGTTTAACCCTAATGCCCTGGATTACTCGAAATATGTGAGCACCAATTTAAAAAATCTTCAAGAGAATGACGTTTATGAAGATAATGAACTGCGAACTGAGAAATTTAAAATCGCATCTGAGGTTATTTTAAATCTAGAGTCACAATTGCGCGATAGGGGATTAGATCCAAATGCAATCTTGGACGTTATTGATACAGCTAAGCGTGGTGTTGAAACACAAAGTATCGTCATTCCCAATATTTTAAGCACTCCGGGCGCACAAAAAAGGTTTTAAACGAACCATTATATCACAATCCTAGGCAAGTTTTGAAAGAATATTTTCGATACTAAATTTTATTAAAACAAAATGTCGAAATCAGCTTCATATAGAAACCGTGTCATCGTTAATTAAGAAAGAGATATTCTTTAATATCATAACTTTACGACACTCACATATTGACTAGATTTGACTATTTATTTTATTATATTTTAATTTGAATTATTTGTTTATAAAAATATATTTTATTCCTTAACAAACACTAAATGAAAATAAGTTTAATCTGTGAACAACATTAAAAAAAATCGACAAACTTTCGTAAAAATTTCGGACTTTTTATTTCAATTTTATCTCTTAATATTTTGCAGTTTTTTAGTTCATTCAATTTTAGTCCAATAAAGTGCAAATTTAAAGTAGCTGTGATTTACAGTTGATGTATAGCATATTTTTGACGATGTCGGTAACTTTCTTCCATATTATCTAAGTATGTTCGACGATTTTTATAATGAAGAAAATAGGCACAGCCTTCATCAAAAAATAAAAAATAAATAAATAAATAAAAATCAACGATAAGCGCAGCTATGTATGTATTTTAAACTTGCACTTTATTTGAATTGATCGGGCTACAAAACTGCATACTCAAAATATGTATTTATAGGAAATCTAATTAAAAAGCTTTACGAAAGTTTGTTGATTTTTTTAATGTTGCGCAAAGATTAAACTTTGGATTTATACGGGTTTTGTTAAAGTGTAAACTGCATTTTTAAAAACAAAACAAAGAATTAAAATTATATAATTTTAAAATAAATGGCGAATCTAGTTAACATGTACAAAGTTTTGATAAGCACTTGATATGTCAAGTTTTAGTACTGAATTCAAAGAAGATGTCTCTTTCATCCATTCATAATAACTTAAAAAAATTTGTTTGTTAAGAAGTGTATCTTAAAATATCTGCCTGACATTTATGTTAAAAGTGTAAAATATGTAAATGTACCTACATGAACTTTCCCGTGAATACCATCAAATCATTGGTCTTGAAGGGAATCTATGTATGCATACATGCATATGAGCAAATTAAAAGTCGATACAATTTACAGTCGAAAAGTACAGTTTTTGTATAGATTATAGATTATTTCCCAATACTGTGGGGAACTAAGCAAAATAGTGGATTTCGCAAATATTCAAATACATAATCCACCAACCGATAATTTTATATATTCATTAAAAGATAATTTGTCATCAGTCTGATATAAAAAAATTATAAATCGGAGGGGTAAAATAGTATTGTGTTGTTAATTCAAAAAAAAGTTTAATTTCACCGACGAAGGGGGAGAATCTATCCCCCCCTAAATCCCTCCCCTGGCTACGCCATTGGGTAGTAGTGATAACAAATCTTTATAAGTAGGACGTCCTGTTTCGCCGCCACGCTTTCCAGGTATGCGACCTTAAAAAAGTGAAAAATGATAGTTAACAAGCAACCAAACAATAAAGGTGTAAAAATCACTTACCTTCATATACTTCTCTATGGGTCCGGGCGAATACTTCACGACCCGGATTCCGACGATTGGGGTATCGCTCTGCATAGAGTCTTTGAGCAGCTCTGGCATTACAGCAAGCTTCACCGTAAATTAGGTGAATATCCACATATTCATGCGACGTATACTGCGTGTTCTCTGTCATAGTATTAATAACACAATGTTCGAAGGGTCCAATTTCACAAAATCCACTTTTACTAATTCCGGTAAGTAACATAAAATAATGTCAGGAGACGGAAATAATGTACCTTTGTACTATTTAGCATGTCATTGGTCGGTAACAAGAGCAACTTAAATTTAAATCTATTAAATACATTCTAGCGTGTTTAAGTCCTTTGCCCACAAAAGCGGCTATAACTTTTTTTCTATTCAAAACAGTAAGAGTGCCACCTTTCTGAAATCTTTATTAAATGAGCAATTTTTTTATGTAATGTAAAATTATAGCTAAGTACATTTTTTTTTACCAGATATAGTCAAAGTTGGGGAAGAAAATATCAAAAAGTTAAAAATCCCAAAATAGTCCTAATTTTATGATGGTTCCTTAATATATTTTAACTACATTGCATTTGAATATGGAGAAGGAACTATCTGGAAGAATTTTACATAAAAAATTTACTAAGTATAGCCTGGGTTGTAGATGCAGTTAAAGAAAATACATGAAAAGGCACGATTTTTTTTTATTCAAAAAAATGTAAATATTTCAAAAACGGTGACACTTTTACCTGAAAATTTTTTGTTTATCATAGAGCTCACGCCCCCACTTACCTTCCCCTAAAGTTTGGCAGGTTACTTCTGGGACACCCTGTATAAACGACACCAATTCAACCCACGTCTAAAAGTTTACTATTATTATTAGAACGAAATTGCTTTAATATGTTTGCACCTATTGGTATTAATTTCACTTCAGATAGAATAAAAGATAAATAGGTATAACTGGGGATACCGGATTTGGACACTTACAAATCGACTTTTCACATTAGAAGTGGTCCACATGAAAAAGCTGCGAGTTTTTCTCAAATTATTGCACTTTGCCTTAAATTATCCGCTATTATAAAGTGGAAAAAGAGTAAATTTATCAAATTACTAACAGTGGGTATAAGGGTTTGTTATTTGATGGATTTATACAGCTATTTCGTTAGCTGTCGTTTTTTTTAGTACAACGGGCACATCTATACGAATATATACAATTTTTTTTAAAGCCGGGTTTTCTGTTCGAAAAGCTTGAGAACAGCCGTACCGAATTTTCGAAGTTTTGGACACCTATTTCCGACTTTCCAAGCATGGTTATAGACTAAAAATAATTTGGATATGTCATCGGGACGTGGCAGCTCCCATACAAACTGAATTTTTCATACTGCATATGAAGAGGAGTTTGCAGTAGAATACTAGAATCATTGTTGCCGCCAGGGAGTGGAGAGAAAGTGTTCTTCAAATTCATTTCTTTGTGAGATTAACCGTTCTATGAAATGTTACACAATTAGAGAATTTAAAGAACTTCATCACGACATAACGCTTTCGTTAGGTTCTCTAAGGCGGAAAACGACCACCAAATCATAATCTTAGCCGATGATCGTGCCAATGGAAATCGTAAACGTGAATTGTTAGTGAAAATGTTGGACCAAAAAGTTTCAATAAAAAAAAAATTATTTTGTGCGGGACGAAGTTCGCCGGGTATGCTAGTATTATAATATTTCATTTAAACTAATTAAGTTGAATTTTTAAAAAGGTGGCGACCCTTGTGAAAGACTTCAATATTATTCACAACTTTAAAAATAAAGGTTTCTTAACAATATTTGGTTTAATATTTTAATTCTACAGATGCTAGGCGATGGGAATCGCTTACCCTTTCGCTTCAGGAAGGCCTTATTTTAACATGGGCATGTCATTGGCGGTAAGCCCTTACCCGCAGCATTACCTTCAAACGAAACGAGAACGCATGGATAAACAGAATCCAGAGAAGCGAAAAAAGAATGCCTTACAGAGAAACTAATGTAGAATGCCCAGATGAGTACATACTTATTTATATTATATCAGAAAATGTCTTAAAAGATTAAATTTAATTAAAATTTTTATAAATCAGTTTTTATACAAACATATTTATGTATTTGGGTATTTAGATTTTACTTAAAAATCGGTATGTACATACATGCATATTTAATAAAGCTTAAAATTCTACTTTCTCACTCATGTACTTCACTTCATTGACTGACTTCAACTTCGCTGCAAGTTGAACAAAGCAAAACATGATTTTTATGCGAGACAAATTTCCACAGAAACTAACGGTAGGAAAAGATTTTTTGGATATTCATTCTATTTTTCAGCTGACTACGATGCAGCATTCTACGTTGCATTCCCCGAAATGAAGCAAAGAAGCGAAATAAAAAAAATGTTGTAGGACATTCTACTTTGCATGCCCTGAAATGAAGCAAAGAAGTGAAAAAAATAAAATATTGTAGGACATTCTACTTTGCATTCCCTGAAATGAAGCAAAGAAGCGAATTAAGAAAGAAATATTATAGGACATTCTACTTTGCATTCCCCAAAATGAAACAATGAAGCGAAATAAATAAAATATTGTAGGACATTCTACTTTGCATTACCGACAATGCCTAAAAGAAGCGAAAAAATGCGAAGGCATTATAACGCTATGCCTTCTAGAACACGTTACCACTAAAAGCAATTACCGATTTTTTGCTGGGTGGCTTGCGTATAATTAATTTAAATTTTACTTTTCAAACAGGTGGCAACCTTTTTCACAATATATTAAACTACAGCTTTTTTAAGCCTCTTGACATCCATTTTTTTTAAATAATTTTCAAATAAATAACTCCCTTAATTGAAGTTGAATTAGATTTTTTTAAAAGGTGGCAGCCCTCATCCATCAGTAGACAATGATTTTATATACATACCTCTATACCAAGTTCCAGTAATCTACCAAAAATATTTCCTAAGAAATGCAGTATGAAAAATTCCGTTTGTATGGGAGGTGCCACGCCCTCGAGCCTAATCGAGATTAAATGTATCCTATATTTTAAGTTGGGCTAAATAACAGCAGTGTACAAAATTTTATGATGATCGGTTGAATAGTTAAAGCGTGAATGCGTAGCAAACAAACAAACTCACTTTCGGATTTATAATATTAGTAAGGATTGGAATCAATCAAAACGAGTTTAAAAGGGCTTAATTTCAGAACTACATGTAAAGTGTTTCCATATGTTTAAAATCTCAATTGGGTTGAAAAAGTATGACAAGTGAGAAGTTTAAGAAAGTTTTAGTTTGAAAATATTTTGAAGATGGTTAAACAAATTTTAAACCTCCTGTTTTTGAATTGAGATTTCTTGAAATAAATTTTACTCAATGTAGCACGCAAAAATTTCATACACTCAGCGCTTGATAAATCTCAAGTTTCGACCTTTCTAATAACCATGAACCACAAAAATGCGTTGTCAAAATTGAGAAGGCCAAGGCGACTCCCTTTCTTGT